GGGCACAAGTAAGGGTAGCAGATTACAAGTGATAGGCTCCCAGAAGTGTGTTTTAAGAACATGGTGTTTCCTGTGGTCACTGGGAATTAAGGCAACATCCAGCTCATACACAATACCAAAAAAATGAGACATGTAAACCACTGAAGTCCACTGTAAATAGGAGGCCATGCAGAAACTTACCTAACTGTTCTACAAAGCAGCATCAGATTATAAGCAGCAAGAAGCCAGGGCTACCCCTAGTGCTAAGACTGGTCATGCTGTAAGTGGCAGAACCAAAGTTTATCAAATGTTATCCTCAAAGTGCATCTGTGCACTCTTTAACTGCACAGTACAGTTGCAAACACCAGTAAGGAGGAATATATTCTCTTTCTCAGTCCATTCCCCTTCAAAGGCAAAGATGTTATTTGTCTACTTTGCAATAGCAATTACATATTATCTCTTACTGGACAAAAAAGTAAGTTATATTTATTTTCAGAGCTATTTCTGATTTCTTCTTTAAATGCCTCCTACATTTTTGTTAGATTTCTTCTCCCACAATACCTCTGAAAAACCAATGGAGAAAGCCTCGTACCTACTTTGCAATTCACCAAAATTAAACTAATAACACCTCCTGCTGTCATCTGTCAGTTAGAGTAAGATTTATAAGTGGCAGCAGAAATAATTTTCATAACGTTTACTGGAATATCAATAGCTTGAACAGACAGATCCTTCAAAGATACTGCTCAAATCAAATGGAATCTGTCATGGAAACTAGAAATTCATTTTAATTAACTGTATTTGAAAGCCTGATAATTTAAAAATAAAAGACAAAATGGACAATACCATGTGTTTGTGCAGAAATTACATTCTGTGTGAGAAGGTGCAACTATTACAAGATGGGTTAGTCTAATATTTTGCCTGTTGATTTCACTGTACGTGTCACCTCCTGGAAATCCTCCTTCTATACTGCTCGTTATCATTGCTTACATCTTCTGTGTAAAACTGCTGAACATATTTTTATTTTTTACATGTGCTAACAGATGTTTGGAGGGCTTCATGAACAAAAAATTACTCTTTTATCACTCTGTTCAATTAATGAACATGTTCTTTTCAGCTAATTGAAACCTAAGTTAGGAGAACACCAACATTAGGTATGGAAAAGTGAAGGAGTCCAATCTTTATAAAGGCACGTTATTCTGAATTAAATTGTAAATCTTAATGCTTGTGAGAAATACCCATCCTCTACATAAGGCATCAGAGGTTCACTTCTTTTTCAAACCAGCAACAGTATCACCTCATCTCTCCTGCCTCCCTTGTTCTTCGATCTGTTAAACTTTGCAAGATGAAATAAAAATGTCTTCAGAGAAAATTTAACAGGTTTGAATAAAAAAAGCAAAAAAAAACCCTGCCTGAGACCATTGCACACACTCTAGAAGCCAGTAGGCAGAGCTAATCCTAGCTTTTTAGACACAGTTCTGTAACTCCTAGATTTTATCTAGTTTTTAATTAAAATACTCTATAGAGAAAGATCCTTATCTCTTGAACTGCAACTTTTAACAAGTCTTATTATTATTATTTCTTATTTTAAGACAAGTAGAGAATACTAGAGAATACAAATTTAATACTATTACTGCAATTGTATTGATCCTTTTGTAATAAAGTAAGCATGCATTTCTATAACAGAGATCTCTTATAAATTCCAGCAGTCTTCCTTATTTCTTAAAAGATATTTACTTTTAAATGTCCAGGACTAATCATAGCTGCTCATTATACTGCATTAAATTTTGCTGACTGAAACCTGACTTCACCTTTAAATCAGATGCAAATTATTTTTTGCACTAGTATTATTTTCTCTCTAAAAATGGAAGAGAACATATATAAAAATAAAGAGTTCAAACACTGAAAGGCATTACTGAGGTCACATTTCAGTGGTAAAGAATGCCATTAATATTTAGTCTACCTTAATGGAAGAAATTCGAGTTAGAAGATACTTTAGGTTATCTTGTCCACCCTCATGTCAAGGGAGAGTTGCTTGCTATGGCATGTTATTGATTGTTTTGCCAGATCCATTTTGAACTTGTCACTTAACAGTAAATTCCCAGCTCTAAAATCTTAAATGCTGGTGAAGTTAATTCTTCCAAAGCATCTGTTTTTGAGGTGGCATTAGCAGATCCAGCCTATGTTTCCTCCTTCTTTGTATCATCTCATGATAACCTCCCATTTATCACATTATTCTTTCCAAATCAACTCAAACAGTTAAAAACAAAAATAACAGTAGTAATTCCTGGACCTTTGTGCCTTTGCTACAGGACACTTTTAAGCCTCTCAATTTTCTTTGAAGCCTTCTACAACACAGTTTAGAGATTCTAAATTTTAACAGCTGACAGAAGCTCTCTATATCGTGGTCCACAAAATAATGACTTTCTAAACGAGAATCTACCTTTAGAGTACAGTGGATTTTAATTTGCAGGATTACCCCCAGATTATTAAATGGAAATGTATTAAACGAATGGGGATCCTTTCCTTGCACCGTTATCTATCTGTACATAAGGCAACTTTCTGTCAGAAACTGATACACAGTTTATTCAATGCTAGTGTGACAGAAGTCTTGTTTTCTGCTTTAAATTCCCAAAAACATTTGCTTAACATGCAAAAGTAGCAGTACGTGTGCTGACAAATAGTACATCCAAAATTCCCTTTAAAATTAGTTTTGACTTGTATCATTTCAAGGATCCACATGGCTTTCCATGTGTTTTTCTTTGAGTGCATAAAAGGAATAATGTTGCAATTTAGCACTGACATAGGAACATTGATTGGGAAAACCTTCAAGTATCTGTACGCAACACAGGATTCACGTTTCCTTCAGCTAACTCAGCCTAGTTACCATAATCATCAGTAGGAGCAGCAGTAAACCGAACCACACAACGATGCTCTTCCAGACCAAAAATTTCACATTGAAGTGCGTGAGTTTTTTTCCTCACTGAATTCAATGACCACTTTTTCCACTGACACCAAGAGTTTCCATTCATTATGCCATAAGTATTAAAGTCCTAGTACACTGGAAGCTATTCCTGCCAGAAGAGCCAATAGTTTAAAGATACACAAGTTTACTTCTATTGGAATTCACAATTTGTGATGCTTGGAAGAAATCCTTGAAAACGCCAACAACAAACAGCTGAAAAGAAATGGCCCTGGCTATAGCTACAGCTTCCACCTTCTGAACACACAGTATCATGAACCAAGGAATTGGCAAGGTGTCTAACTAACACCTGTCCAAGCACTTAAACACATTATTTTAACCCAAATTAATTAGGACCAAGGTATATTTTAAAGATGCAACAGCTTTTCTACAGGCGGTGGTTTTCCAAGGGCACACTCACTTCATTCCCCAGGAAGTCAAGATTGCCAGCCACTAATGATGGAAGATATTTCACAAGTACAGTGGGCTTGGAAATTGACTTCTAAGGGACATGATTTGAATAGTCACATAGCCAGTCACCTCTCAAGCACTGTGAAGAGATACCTGCAAACATTCTCTGAATGATGGTTTCACACACAGCATAAGGTACTCTCACCAGCTCCTTCTGAAAAGACCTTGAGACCTTCACCAACTGAAGTAACAAAATTACGAACGCCATATATAACAGGTATTTAAGGATTTCCGTAATGTAGATCATAAAATTACAAGAAAAAAAAGCCCCGGAAATTTTGTTACTGTTAGTGTGTCTCGTCACCAGCCGCTACAGTTTAAAGAGTCAACCGTAAAAAAGATTTTTGTGGAATATGGATCATGCACTGCACTAAATAAACGCCTATTACAGCTGAACTAATACACTGCCCCTCAGGCTGCGAACCCTGAGACAGACTCAACCACAGCCCTCCTTTCCTAAACGCTTCCCCCAGCTCAGGCTGAGCCCCTTCCTGCCCCTGGTGAGCACCACTCGCACGGGCGCTCTGACGGAAACGCTCCCGGGGACCACAGACCGCTTCTCATGAGATCTTCCTCTCGAAATCGTATGTCCTTCCGATTTCAGCCTTTATGGACTGACCGAGGGGCTCGGCAGGAAGCCAGGGCAGACGGCGGAGCGAACACCCACCCCACTCCGCCCCACTGCGAGCGCTGCCTCCCGCGCTCGGCAGCGGCCAGCCATCCCCGGCGGAGGCTCCAACCCGCTCCCAAACTCACGTGGTGCGACAGCCAAAGGTTACACGCACCGCCGGGACGAGGATGACACCGCCGTTAGAGGCGCTTCCCACCGCGGAGCGGCCCCGCGGGGACGGGCTCACCCGCGGTGAAACGCCCGCGAGGGCTTCCCTCTGCCGGCACCCGAAGCGGTGCCGCATCCCTTCCTCGTCCGCGCCGCTCGATGAGCAGCCCTGCCAGGCATCGATAAATCAAACCAGCCCGTCTACTCCGACGGAAAGCTGCGTACGACTCAGCCGCGGCCAAAAACACCGCCCTGGGGGCGCGGCGGGCGGGCGAGGGAGGTAGGGAGGCGGCGGGGGAGGCTGCGCGGGTGCCGGGCTCCCAGCCCCCGCGGGGCGGCGAAGTGCCCGTGATGTCGGTGTCGTGCTGCCGCAGCGGGCTAATCCCGGCTACTTAACCCGGCGGGCGGCGGGGGCTGAGCACCACCTTAATCCACGGCGTGTGCGCGCCCGCCCGCCGGGAGCTTGCAGGGCCGTGGCGTGCCGGCCGTGTCCGGCTGCGGGGTCCCCGACGGTGTGACGGTGCGCTCCCGCGGCGGCTCAGCCCCGCATCTGCTGCCCTCAAGGTCACGCCGTGCCCCGGCTGCACGGTGTCGGCCAGGTGCACGCTCCGGTTACCTGCGAGGAGAGCCGGCGAAAGCCCGGGAGCGCGGCACCCAGCCCCTCCAGCCGCGCCGCCCCCCCGAGCGAGCCCGGCCACGGCTCGCAGCCCCGCGGCGGGAGCGGAGCAACGCTGCACCTGCCGCCACGCTGTCGCCCGCCCCGGTCGGCCGGCCGGGAGGAGAGCCGCCCCCAGCCGCCGCCGCCGCGCTTACCTCTGCGCCGTGGGGCCGACACAGCCGCCAGCCGGGGGCCAGGACGAGGCGCCCGTGAACCTGACGCCGCCCGCTCGTTCGCTCGCCGAGCGCACAAGGTCCCCGCGCTCCCCGCCCTGCCCACGACCGGCCGGCCCCGCCGCGCCGCCCCCGCCCTGCGGCCGCGCGAGGAGGGCGGGAGAGGGGGCGGGGGGGTGAAGCGGCGACCGAATTGGGGAGGGAAGGAGGGAGGGGGCACCGGCGCGGGGAGAGCCGGGGGAGGAGAAGGAGGGAGGGAGGGAGGGAGGGAGGGGGGCGCGGAAAACCCGCCCCGCCCCCGTCGCCTCACCGGCAGGAATCAGCGATTCGCCCTCCTCGCGGGCGCTCCCACCGTCGCCGCCGCCGCTTCCCAGGGCCCGCCCGCCTCCTTCCCCCCGCACGCACCGGGCAGCCCCAAGCGCGCCGCCGAGCCCCTGCGCCGCAGAGGAGCCGCTACAGGAGCCGGGCGCCACCGGGCAGGGCGGGGCGGGGCGGGGCGGGG